GCGAAGCACACAAAATGGCGACGTCATAGTTCCCATTAGCCGGCAAATCTAAATGTCCGGTCAAAATAATTTCCCTTTAGCGCAATACCGCTTCAGTTGCGCCACTTATGTGACAGACAAAAGAGTATGTGACAGACGAGAATAGTCAATTCTAATGTCTAACACTTCATGTGGAGAAAGAGATGTCCTGTGTGGGTTGATTGTGCGTTGATCTGTTGGTAATGCCTCGGGGTTCCGGTGGGCATGTAAACAAATACATAATGCTGCGCTATACTTTGTGGCCTCACCCAGTTGCATAGCGACACTTATTGTGTAGGTGTCTTTTAATAAACAGGTAGTCATATCATTAGCTAGAACTAGCTGAATCTGATCGATATGGACATAAACGCGAGTGAAGTCTAATCTGACGGGAGAGAGAGATCAGCTGAGCAGGCTGACGAGTGGACACGCAGCTCTGCATGATCACATGCAGCGGTGAGCGGACAAAACACACACTTCAGGTTAGAATATCACACGTAGCTATTTTAATTACCTCTCAAACTACCTAAACTAGTTATAGATATGTTTAGTTTTACTGTCGGGTCTCTCATTACTGGATCCGCAAGCTGCATGATACTGGCACAATAGATTGCCCGATCGGGCAACCAGCAGGTGAGGCTTCATTGCCCGAGCTAAATACTAGATGGCCCCCGGGCCATCGGGCAGTCCTTAATGTCGAGCCCTGCGTTAGCTTCAACAAACGTAACATGCAACGTTAGCCTAATCTAAAATGCTCTACTACGGAGTAGGGCTGTGCAATTAATCGTATTTTAATCGCGATTACGATTATGGCTTGCGACGATTATGAAAACAGCATAATTGACAAAATACGATTATTTTGCTGGGTGCGCTTTCGCCCCTCCCTAAAAGCCCACTCGGCCACGTGGGAGTGACGTGTTGTGAGTGTTCAGCGCGAGCGAAGATGTCAGAACAAGAGCAGCAACTCGTTACAAAGAAGGGTAAAACTATTTCCACTATTTGCAAGTACTTTGCCATTACATTTCACATCGCTAAAGATATGTGCCCAGTTAGCACTGTTAGCAACCAGGGCTTTAAGCAACTTGTCAACACGTTGCACAAGCGTTACGCGATGCCGTCTCGGTATTATTTCAGCAGGTCTGCGCTGCCTGCACTATATGACAAATGCCGTGGGGAAGTTGAGAGATGTGGCTTCAGCTGACTACTTTGCGACCACAACGGACCTATGGTCTAGCCCAGGGGTGCCCATCAGTCGATCGCAAGATGTGTCTAAAAATAGAACAACAATATTCTGTTTTATCGTTAATGTCCTGTGACATAATCTTCCTGTGCCAGAATAATGCACTTGAATGCATCAAAGCTTTGTGATTGGCCGGCGTCACCCATGTGTCGGGGCGTGGCTGAGGGTCTTCAGTACAGGTGGCAATATCGTCACCTGCCTGTGCTCATCTCTGAAACCAGACCATGTAAACAGGCTGGTGTTTTTTGCAAAAAATCTTTAAGAGATGACATGAGCAGCCCTACCAGCATTTGCCATGGTGGCCTAAACATTTTTATTTGGTCTTAAATTGTAGTTCAACATTTATTTCCTGTTACTTCTGGACCATGACGGTGGGCCAGCCTTCAACGTTTAACTGAGTGGAATATGTTGAATATGTTTTACCAAAATGTTGGCTATATGTTAAGGAGTTTTCAGTAGGTTGTGACAGTGCACTGCAACATGTTGGATTTAATTTATTTTTGGTCTAATTTATTTGTATTTATCATATTAATAATATATGTTTAGTATGGTTTTGGAAGTGTGCTCCAACATATTTGTTGATCTTGTTTATTGGTAAAATATTATTTGATTTAAAGTTCAATAAATGGTCAATGAATCATCGTCAAAAATAATCGTGATATCAATTATTGACCAAATAATCGTGATTATGATTTTTGCCATAATCGCACAGCCCTACTACGGAGTACCTTTCATGTGGCTCGTCAGCGCAGACTCTCGCATCGTTATTTTTGCAAACTTTGCAGGAGGCTACTCGTGGGCTTGACCCTCGTCTTAGCCATGGCTTGTATTTGTCGTCTGCTAGCCAACGCTCGTTGAAACTGCAACCTCCTGGCACACTGTCATCTATCACTCATCAGAATGCCCAGGTCACATGTAACACAAACACTTGCAGGTCACGTGCATAGCACGGGAAGGCCGCAGCGGAGCTGTTTTATGTAAAAGTGAAGCAATTAAGCACACTCCGACTTCTTTATTTTTCTTTTAATCTAAAAAGCGAAGTAAAGCATTTACAATTTCAAGTACTTTATCCCAAATTCAAGCACCATTCCCAAAATTCAAGCACTTTTCAAACCTTGAAAACACCTTGTACAATTTCAAGCATTTTCAAGGATTTCCAGCACCCCTACGAACCCCGTAATAAATATAAAATCATTGCCAGTGTTATCAGTTGCAAGTGTGTATTTGTTGTAATAATGACGAAAACATAATAGGCAGATTTCACAGTAATTATAATAAAAACGTAGCTCAAGCATTTATGCAACTTGATTTGAAGTGCGTGTGTGTGTGTGAGGGGCAGCACCGTGTTTGTGTGTGTGTGTTAGTGATGTGTCGGTCGCGAACGAGCTGATTATTTTGAACGGCTCTTTGGTACGAACGGGGGGAACCGAGTCGTACTTGGTGAGAGCCGTTCTTTTTATCGTTCAATCGTTGGTCCGCACTCACTGCCTGCCAAAATCCACTCGCCTTTTAAAAAGCTTGATTTTGTTCCCCAAACGTATGCTGTGAAGACCCGCCCCTACTCTGATTGGTAGGTTTCAGCACGAGGAGTGAGATGGGGTGGGTCTTAACGGAATACGCGCGAGAGAGAAGTCCTAACAAGTGGTACAAGACAGGTAGACGACGTGTTTTTCAGATGGAAAATGAGCCAAACGCGAAAACGCAACAGCATTTGGATGCACTTAAATCAAAACCCAGGCAGTGATGAAGCGCACCATTTGTAAAGGCAAAATATCCTTTAAAGCAGGGTCAACTAATAATCTCCATCGCCACTTAAAAACACAGTATCTAATATTAAGAGTTGCGTGCATTTCATTCAAGGCAAGGCAACTTTATTTACTTAACACATACAGAGGGTAAATTCAAAGTAGTACATTCACTGACATGAATATGGCGCCACCTTGTGTCATGTTTACAATTCAGATTATTGACATTAGGTCTGGCAATACAGCCAATCATTATCCTGGTGATTATTTCGCAGATAAACCTATAACCGCGCCCCCCTTTAAAAAAACGGCTCTTTGAAAGGAACGTAGCCATAAGATTGTCCAGTGTCCAGTCTCTCCCCCCCGGCAAAAAAATCCCCACTACACCACTGACTAAACCCCCTCTGGGCTACACTCTCTGCCTCTCTCAGCCTTCACGTTCACTGAGCAGTCAGAATCCCTCATTGACTCTCTGAACTTCCTCTTTCCTCTCTCTGCCCTCATTGTACATCTGCAGACAGTGGCGGCTCCAGAGTATTTTTGTTGGGTAATCTATGGTAGGGCTAACCCATACAGTGGTGGGGCTCAAGTCAGTATTTGCAATGTAATTACATAGTACACGCTCCCCTTGACAGTGAAACGCCATGCGTGAGGTTTAGATTATTTCCCTGTCTCAATCCAAATTGAATTGTATGAAATAAAAAGGCACATTTGTCTTGTAGTAAATAAAAAAGGGCGACCTGGAGCCAATCCTGCAAAGTTCCCACAAGTGAAAGAGTTGACATGCTGAAAACCCAACCCCTGCAGGGGGCTCTGGGGGGATTCTCCCCCAGGATATTTTTAAAATACTAACATAAAATGCACATGCTGGTACTCTCTTGAGAAGAAAAATAAATAAATCTATTACTACACGACATATTAAAAAAAATGAATGCCATTTTAGTTTTTTGTTACTTTGTTCTGAAAGCTGAACCTGCTGCTCCTCACAGCGAGAAGAGGCTGTGTTTTAACTTGATTATTTATTTATTATTGTGATGCTTTGAACTATTTATAGTGTAAATTGGAATTATCCACATCTGTGCTCCCGGGTGTATCTGTGTTTTATTCTTGTATGTTCCTGCCTGTGTTCATGACATAAGCTGCTGCTCATAACCAATTGCCCCTTGCGGAATTAATAAAGTTGTTGATTGAATTACTTTACATTGTGGATAAGGGTGGATAGCCCCCATTGTTCTGTGTCAAAATGAAAGACAGCCCACACACCTATCAATCATCAAACCGCGGGGTCTTATTTCATTGTATCGATGTATATAGAGATGTACTACAGCAAAAGTATTGTCCGTCGGGACTTCCTGCAACAACACCACGCCGTTATCTTGATTTTGATTGGCCAGAAGACATGATCAAATATGTTCTATTGAGAAGACGATCACTATGTGACAAAAGTTTTCCAAACCGTTTCTTGTCTTCGGTATTTCCAGACAAGTGGCTACTGAAATCAATCTTACTAACTGCTGTCTGTGCAATTTACTCCGCGCGAGTTGGTGGACTTTATGTTGCTTACTTTAACATCATTTTTCATGGTGGGGCTAAAGTGGATTTACAAATGCGTTTGCGAATTTGTAATTCTGTCTGCAGATTGTAGGCTACACGTGTGCGCCGTACGGATGCCTTGATGATAAATATCACCGTAAACTAGCATGAATGTAGAGATGTAAATCATTTACTGCGTATTTACACACATATTGTGTTCTTGAAAGGCAAAATAATGTGTCTTCCTGCTTCGTCATTAAATGTCGTGTTTACATTTAACCGATGAAAGCTTCCATGATATTCTGGCATTCGCCATTTGTTCTGTCTCGAGTTTAACTTGTTAGTTATTGACAACACGTGTTTGTCACATTTAAATACACGTTTAGAGAGAAATATGCAGGCCAGAAAATCAAAAATCACAACAATTACAAACGTCTAAGTCTTCTGTGTTTAACATTACTCACCCTATTTTCGCATTTTACCGAATTTCTCAGGACTCCCGCCGCTGCCTCAAAAGCGATGCGAAAGTAATTTTTCACCGCAAAAATACAAACTAAAACAGACTTAAATTCTAACAAAAATAAATCACGAATCATCAAAGTCCGTGGGTCCGAATTGAAAAAGCGTGGCGAAATTGTCCTGATTTTGCAGTCCTCCTCGGTGTGCTTGAGACCTTCTTCTTGGCAGTCATGAAGTGAAGGAAGAAGAGAGGCAGGCAACCAGACCGAATATATGACGTTCAGCGTGAGCTCTGATTGGTCACGATAAGTCAACCGACCAATCAGAGCCACACTGAACGTCCTCATAATCAACTAATGTAACTAATAAGTAAATGGGCGGGTCTCCCTGTGTGTTTTTTTTCTAGAAGTTTATTATTTTTGCAGCCTCTTACTATATAAACATTACAAAAGTACACACATCTGAACTGTCCATGTGCTTGATATTGAACATTTTACAACATGTCCTTTAGTACATAAATGAACTTCAGGAAGTTTCCACACTATGCTGCGCACTCTTCTGTTTTGGCCTTTTTGTTGTACAATGAATAGGTTGCTTCTTGTTTACATCACACGCCAGACAGAGAAAACAGACATCAGTTCTGCTTTGGTCAGGATCTATTATATGTCGTAGCTGCTATATTGTACTGCCATGTGGTAAATACTGTATATTGTCAGCACTACATCCTTCAACAGACTCCAACGGGTTCAAAATGCAGCTGCACGTCTCCTTACGCATACCAAATCATGGCATCACATCACCCCAGTCCTCAAAGACCTCCACTGGCTTCCTGTCTTCCATCGCATCAACTACAAAATGCTGGTCCTCACCATAGGGGTCCTCACCTACAAAGCACTCCACCATCTGGCCCCCCCTTATCTCACAAACCTTCTCACTCCTTATCAACCCCCATGGTCCCTCAGGTCCACCGCAGCCGGACTCCTATCCATTCCCACATCCACACTCTGCAGCTTTGGGGCAGTGGCGGTTCTAGACCAATTTGACTGGGGGGCCACTGGGGGGCCAGTTATTTTCTGAGGGGGGCACAATAAATGCAGGACGAAAAAGAAAACTAGACAGTATGAAGTAATTGCGCATAAGAAAACAATGCAATACAGTTATTGGTATTTGTTTCAGTACACTTGTTTATTTCAGATATATCTTATAGTTATTACTGTTAGCTTCAGCTTAAGTTATAGTACAATGTTTGCACTAACACCATATCATATTTATATAAAAATAAAGGCAATGAACAGTTACATCTCTACTTTACATCTACATTACACGGATACAATAGTTTAAATCACCCTTCAATTATCGTGGTAGTCTCTCGAAACGTAGGTTTCAATCAGTCTTTCTTGGATGCAACAGCCTCTGATGATCCGAGATGAAAAGTGTTTGTTTTTCGCGCGCTTCAGCCGGACAGTGAAAGTGAGTGCACCGCTCTAATGGGTCCTGAGTGCACTGCTCTAATGGGTCCGACTAGAATGACGAATAACGTTAGTTCCGCCTATTCCGTCATTCAATAAATCGTGTAATAAATCATACATTTTTCATTTTTTTCACTTTTCATTTTTAGGGGGGCCACAGGGGGGTCAGAGGTCAGTGTTAGGGGGGCACTGCCCCCCCCCCTAGAACCGCCCCTGCTTTGGGGACAGAGCCTTCTCAGTGGCAGCTCCTACGCTCTGGAATTCCCTCCCCCAAGATCTTCGTGACTCTGAGTCCCCAGTCTTTCAGTCCCGCCTCAAAACACATATTTTCAACTCTGTCTACCCATAAGCCCCCCCCCCTTCTCAATCAACTTCCTCTTGACTGCCTTTTTTTGTTTATTTTATTTGACTATACTTACTTGTTTGCCTGTCCTTGTTTGTCTACCCTCCCTCATACTGTAAAGCGTCTTTGAGTTGTGAAAAGCGCTATATAAATAAAATGCATTATTATGATATGCTGCTCATGCTCTTTCTGCATATCATGTATTTATTTTTGCTATGTATATAAAATGTCATGTTCTTAAATGTTGTATGTGAGGGACAACGGATGGAAATGAGCTCGAAGCAAACATCCGGCATATTTACATTTGAAGCATTATTTGTTTAAAGTGTTCATCAATGTGCATTGTCCCTGTTCAAATAAACGTTATGTTACATTAAATTAGATATCACAATTCCTGTCATAGGTTGCCCTTCCTGTTATCAACAAACAGTAATTTTCCATATTAATTATGGGCTGCCAAGAAATAATTAATCATTTCAACAACAAAAAAACTCCCTCTCTGCTAGTATTTATAATGTTTACGGCACATAGACATTCTAGAGACACTCTTTTGTAATTACGTTTTTGTGTTTTAATGTCTTTTGTTGTCATTTGGTGAGTGTTTTAAGTGCCTAAATAATCTTCATTAAAATAAATCAAAACGGTTCACCCACACTTTGCCAAGGTTGAAAGTAATGAGAATGATGCACACTTTTCACAGGGTTTGGCAAACTGTGCAGTGTTTTATTCACATAAATCATTCTCACTTTTCAACAGTCGAATCAGTGAGCTTCTGGTCTCTCTCACAGACAGCTGAACAAATATTTTCCATGCTCTTGTAAAATCTGTTTTATATAATCATGTGTTTTAAGTGCTTTATGTGCTAGTGAGTTATTAATTTAGCTTGGAAAATCCATCCAAAGCGACTTACATACTCAATACTGTGGACAATCCCCACAGGAGCAATTTGGGGGACACAATGGCATGCTGACTGCAGTGGGGTTTGAACCTGTGGGTTGTCCGTAGTGAACATCTACGGACAACCCACTACGCTACACGCTCTCCACAAGGAGGGGGTTGTTACTCTAATCCCCTTTTATCTGCCTCACTTTGCATATGACAATGCATATCTGTGAAAACAAACAGCAGCTTGTATGTTATCCTTAGAACATTCAGATTGTAAAGGTAACAAAGGAACTTTCTTTTGAGGGCTCATTATGTAAAATTGTAAGATCTTTGTTGCCTTTGTGTTGTATGACCCTTCCAGGTGCCTGGGAACTAAGGTGTTGTATTGGCAGTGGTGGAAGAAGTATTCAGATTATGTACTTATTGTACACTGAATAGTTATCACTGTAATAAACAGTATTTCATTTCATTTTACTGTAGAATATTTAATTTTGCATTCTGTTCTTATATATCATATTCTATTTGCGTGTAGACTTTTAAAAAAAATTGTATATGTCTTATATAACTATGCATTGTTGGAGGAGCTCGGGATTTTCATTTTCATTTCTACACTTTAGCTCATGTGCATATATTAATATATTGAATCTTGAATTACATTATTGTCAAAATACTTCATTATAAGTAAAAGTCCTGCATTCAAAATCTCAAAAGTTAAAGTATTGTAAAAGCAATTTTCGGTTGCTATATAATAAAATGTTGTAAGCTGTGCTAGTGGGTTAATCATTTTTGTGTGTAAAGAAGCCCCTTTTAGTTTTCTTTACATTGAGGTCATCTATACAATGATTAACACATGTGACCATCAGCTAAATGCAATGTGTGTGTTAATGGTGTTAATGCTAACAGTGTCCTGCTGTTGTGTCCAGTATGTTTAGTGCTCAGTGATGCAAACACAGGTATGGTGAAAAAAAGAGAGAACTATTCGAAGCAGAAAAAAAGGCCTGTGCTATATGCTTCAATTAACTGGCTATTCTTTATAATATACTCAGATCAATAGGAGACAGAGATGTTAAGTTATAAATCAAGGGTTTTTATTTACAGCACGGGTGGGGAACCTTTTCAATTTTTACAACATCCTCCGAGGGCCGTACAAATGATTCAACTCAACCTCTGCTTAAAAAAATTAAAATCACAGCCCATTCATTTCGCCTTTCTTTCATGTTGTGCAAAAAAAAAAGCAACCTCTTAATCCAGATATCTTACCATGACTCACGCATGACCACCAACACAGAAAGATATGGACACAAGATGTGTGCAAATGTATTTAGTATCCATGTGAACATGGGAAGATTTAGATTAAATATTGAAGTTAAAAGCATCAATCTGGTGCACTTTGAGAGCAAAATGAAGAGATCTATGGATACATCTCTCAAAACCCATTTGAAACAGAACTGTAAGCAGATTCCTCTTTTTGGATATTTTACAAATCACTCCCCTTTCAAACTCTATTCTTCTTATTTTTAACAACTTTTTTGTTACTGTCATATAGTATTTTATACCTGTTTTGAATTTAGTCTTTAATGTCTCATTAATAAGTATAATGATCATATCAAGGTGTGCCTTAACCTCACTGAGCTGAGGTTATTTGAGTCTCAGGAGAGAGCTGTCTTCCACCTGGTTGTAGAAAAGCTCTTTAAATTCGTTAGCATAGCTAGCTAACCAGACGCTAATAACAACAGATCGCCACTGTGCTTACAATTAAAGACACAGCCACACAAACACAAACACTGACCTCTGACCCCCTGTGGCCCCCCTAACAATTACAATTTTTATTTTTATTTTTAAAATGTATATTTTCTGGTACTCGGTTTGCCAAAAACCACAGGATTTTGTTGCTGTAATGTGAGATTGTGCAGACACCCTTATGTAAAGTAGAGATGTAACTGTTTATTGCCTTTATTTTTATATACATATGGTGTTAGTGCAAACATTGCACTATAACTTAAGCTGAAAGCTAACAGTATAACTATAAGATCACTCTGAAATAAATAAGTGTACTGAAACAAATACCATATAACTGTATTGCATTGTTTTCTTATGCGCAGATTACTTCATACTGTCTAGTTCTCTTTTTCGTCCGCATTTATTGTGGCCCCCCTCGAAAATAACTGGCCCCCCAGTGGCCCCGCCAGTCAAATTGGTCTAGAACCGCCACTGCACAAACACTGCGGCATGTGTACGGCTCCTTATGGGTACTGCAATATTTGAAGAGTTGGAGCGCACCACAATGTGCAAGATAACGTTTACGTAGCATTTATTATAGTCGAATGATGACATTATCATAACGGGATCAAATCAAAGTGAATGGCCTGCTTGCTGCTTGAATGCATGGGCAAGTGATGGAACTGGATACAAGTTATTACATCTTTTCAGATAATACATAATATGATAATTCATTCTATTTAGGGGCGCCTTTCAACAGCACCCCAAGGACACCTTACAATTCATAACATATTCCAAGGAAAGGTTTTAAGACAGTACAAAGAATGCAGTCCGGGTGATGTTTTTTATGTGGGGTGCAGATGAGAGGGAGCTGTCCAGAATGACAAGATGTTGTGTTTGAGTTCTTGATAAGCCATTAAAACAGTAAAATAAGTGTCTCCTGTTCACCAAAACATACCCATCTGTTATGGAAAAAGAAAGTATTCTAAAAGTAATCTGAATACTTTTTAAGACACGTAACTGTATTCTGATTACTTTCAGAGCATGTATTCTGTATTCAGTAACTGATTACATTTACAAAGTAACCCTCCCAACTGCCTAGAAGTGATCCTTCGTTAGCGTGAAGAGTCTGCTAAGCTTAATGCGCCCCCCCCCCCATCCTTTCTAAAAGGGTGTGAAATATCAATGTTGGACCTAGTCATAGTAACTAGGTATGTTATTAAGTTACAGTTTCCATAGAATCGTCTCTTTGCTAATTATTACGTTAAGTGAGCTGACGCCAAGCTCAGAGGAAATGCAAAGAGGCTACATTTAGATATAATACAGCTAAGTGTTAGTTAATGTAAGAAATGTATGTGCGTTCATGTGCAGAAGTAGTTTGTTAATTGGATAATTCATATCCTGCAAAACATCCTTTTCGACATCTGGAACAAGTTTAGGAGAACTGACAATGTGTGTGCGTTAAACATGTTTAGGGAACATGTTCGTGTGTCATTTAGGAAACGTATATCTGCCCCTGTGTTTCTTGTATTCGTGGGAGCATTGCTGTATGATCGCTTGAGAGCAGGTAATGTTTCCCCATTGTTGTTTGGTGGTGCATTAAAGTAACCTGTGTAACCAGTTTCTGTATAAACTGCTTCAACAACTATAACCTCGGCCCGATATATCTTAGGAGCCAATAGTCTTGGGAAAAGGAAGGAGTCTGTGTAAAATGTATGCTTGGGAAAAAGAGGGAGTAGCGCCAGGTGCAAAGATAAAGATTGTTATGTTCACCCAATGTTGACTGTACGTAAGCTGTCCAATATTCATGCTCGGGACTCTTGTTCTGACTGGCTGTCGTGGTACGTATATCACACGGTGGTAGAACTTGAGTCCAGAGTACTCTGTATTTTGTATTGTTGCTTTTACCATTAAAACAGATTATTGTTTTATCCTTTATCCCAGTGTTTGAATCCTTCTTCCTTTAACTGACCACTCATCAACTGACGGCGCGGAGCAGAGGTGAACCTTCCACCACCACCATTGGGTGGTGCTCCAACAGCAACTAAATAATGATTAATCTCAACTATTTCTGTGTTTGTGTTTGATTGATTCCTCTCTGTTTCATTATTTCCTGTTGTGAGTGCTGGATTGCCACAACAGGTGGCTATGGGGTAAAGTGAACCATGGGCCTTCTTAGGGTAAGTTGAGCCAGTGGTTCAATGGAGTAGCAGAATGAAAGTAGACCCAGTTGATAATAAGAGCTCATTGTGCTACATTTAAAGTTGAATTTACTCTGTGTTTGATTGGTAAGATGTATGAAATTGTATCACCATTTGTATGATTACTTTTCCTTTTAAAATGTTAAAAAAGATCAATCAATTCAATCTAAATTTATATAAAAATATTTGAAAAACTTAACGTGTGCCAAATGGTTTGTTATTTATTGTTTAAAGTTACCTTTAAGATTTTTTGTAGGTATGCCCAGGTTTAAACTGGAAAAAGTGAAGTGGTTCAATTTACCCCCTGACCTGGATCTTACCCCTACACTGGGGCAAGTTGAGCCACAAGAACACTTTTTTTTTTACTGCCCTTATTCTTATCAAGCTCCACATTTGTGGAATCAGCTTCCAGTTTGTGTTCGGGCGGCAGACACCCTATCCGTTTTTAAGAGTGCGCTTAAGACCTTCCTTTTGATAAAGCTTATAGTTAGGGCTGATTAGATTCAGCCCCTAGTTTTGCTGCTATAGGCTTAGTTTGTCGGGGGACATCTTACTTCTTCCTTCTCTCTGTCTATACCTGTGTACTCATGTTCCGATTAACCCAGCTTCCCCAAATGTCTTTCTTTTTGGTGTCTATATACGCCGGGATCCGGAGTCATGGATGATCCTGCGCTCCTCTGTCCTGGATCGCGAGCCCTGGATCTTGAGTCGTGGCTGTGGTCCTGGATCATAGGTCCTGGATGGATATCCTCGTGGATTCATTTTCCTATTATACACACATGCATTTCCAAACATTTGGACTACCTATGTTGCAAATGTATTATCTTTTCAATTTACAGACGGCATCTATTGCACGTCTGTCCGTCCTGGGAGAGGGATCCCTCCTCTGTTGCTCTCCCTGAGGTTTCTCCCATTTCCCCCTTTAAACTGTGGGTTTTCTTTGGAAGTTTTTCCTTGTACGATGTGAGGGTCTAAGGACAGAGGGTGTCATATTGTCATACTGATATTTTGTACAAACTGTAAAGTCCACTGAGACAAATGTAACATTTGTGATATTGGGCTATATAAATAAACATTGATTGATTGATTGATTGATTATTAAGAATGAATATTAATTCTTATCATTGCCATTGATAGGAGACATCCTGAGGTGTGTGCTTTCATTTTTACTATGTGTAATTTATTTCCTACATAATACAACAATATGTTTTAATTGACCACTTACTGTGTAGCTCTGTATAACCAGATAGGGAGTTGTTTTTTGGACTGGGTTATCATTCTCAAGGTCGCAGATGTTTCAACGGCTCCATGTTAACCAGACACAGCACACACATCTTTTGTTCAGACCTTGCACACTATTGCCGTGAACATGTGACTCTGTAATGTTTGAATATTTTTCTGTGCAAAAACGTAATAAATATCCAATCTTTATTGCCACTACAATAAAATCCTAGTTTATCCAAAAGTTTTATTTTTTTGCAATTTGTACATTAATTTGTAATCACTGCGTTTGTTACACCCAGCGTTTAGAGAACCTTGTCAATTCAGATGGTAAATCAGTTTTAGACGGACACAAAACAAAGTGAATGTGACGCTGTATAAAAAAAAAATACAGCGTACAGTAGATCATGCGATTTGTGTGACCGGGCATTGCTCGGGCTGATCCAGGAACAGAGTCTGGAACATGTGGTTGTAGAAGTCGGGGTGGTAGAGGCAGGCCCTGGCACAGTCGGGGCTGAAGTTAAACTCCAGGATCTGAGGCTGCATGACACGCTCGCCTGGCCCAGGATAAGAACACACACAGGTTAGAAAACAAATTAGAAAGTCAAAGAACAGAACCACGGTTCCTACACAAAGACAACAGGCAAAGCTACTTGGTATTTCAATAAACAAATTAACAGTATGTTTAGCTATTTGTTTAGATTATAATATTTTTTCTTGCCGGTCAAGTGTCCAGAAATAATTTATTTTACCTGACAAATTTGAAACTTACCGGTCATGTTTCAATAATAATAATAATAATAATTGTGTAGCAGAGTTTCCATTATCATGTAATTGCCGGACTATGACCGGATATGCTGATGTTTAAGGGTGCATTCACACCTAATAGTCCGCTTCTCTGGTGAGCACCAGACCACAGTTTGTTACATTGTTTCATTTTTCAGAAGGTTCGGTTTGCGTTCACATGGGCAAAACTCAAACGGACTATAAACTTTAAACATAAGTCATGTGCACGGAAATGCTGTTCAACCATTGGTCAGACATTAAGGGGGTAAAAACGCAAATCCGGGCAATTTCTACCGGAGCCTCCGCCATGGAGCATCAGCACTTTTGGCAGGTTATTCTCATGCTGCTGTTAATCTGGAGATCAACAGACACTAGCGGCCCGCGCATATGATTATATAATCAGACAACGTCCGTTAAAAAACATTATAACACATATAATGAGACGCTCTGCAGTAAAGAGGGGCGTTTCATCGACGACAGGTGTTCTCACTTTTATGTAGCTGACGGAGAATTTTTACTTTACACGACACTGTTCAACACTTCGTTCTGCTTCACTCTTTAACTAAACAACCGCAGATGTCTTGAAAGACTCTTTCGCTAAAGATTTTGAAGATATCTGCGTTCTTGTGACACGTAAATACTGCTCTTCCTATGTTTTGGTGTGGACTGCGTTCACACCAGCAATGAACCGCTCCAGAGTTCGCAAGCAAGCGCTCCGAGACCACCTATTTTAGCGGACCAGAGTCCGGTTGTTTAGTTCACTTAAGAGGTCTCGGATTGCGTTCACACCGACCCAAATGAACCGCACCAAGCGGCTAAACGTACCAGGGTTCGATTCAACCGGACTATAGGCCTACAAGGCAGGTGTGAACACACCCTAAAACTCAGTTAATGGGAGTCATTTTCATATTGCTTCAGTTTATAATCGTAACAGATCGAAATGTTCATTTTTCAATAAATGATGCGCTTCCACAAACAATATAATTATTACATTCAAACAAAATACTTATAGTAGATAAAGTACATTATTCAAAAGTTTACATTAACTTTGAATAATAACACGGGAGAAACCGGAGTCTCTCTCTCTCTCCCTCTCTCTCTCTCCCTCTCTCCTGACAGCCGGTCTGTTTCTCATGCAGCTCGCTAAACAGCAGGCGGAGCTTCAGGTGATCCTGCAGAGCTGCATGTCTTTGTCAGACTCAGCAGCTGATCTGATCTCTCTCTCGCGTCCGGTTATACTTCACTCACGTTTATGTCCATATCGATCAGATCCAGCTCTCCTGATCGGCCTTTATAGAGAGCACCGATCAAACTATTAAGAGTGAATATCGGCCGATAATGAACGGCGGCCGATCGATCGGAGCATCCCTAATCATTACCGGACATTTTGACCGGCAGGTTTTGAATTTACCGGTTTTTAATAAATGTTACCAGCTAAAAACCAGTAATTACCGGCTAACGGAAATCCTGTTTCACACATACAGTTTACCCATCAATGTTTGAGGGAGACGATAGGGAGCGGTGAATACAAGGCGGTTTAGTGACCCCATATTCAAAAGTGCTTTAAGTGTTCAATTGCACTCTGAACTAATTGGGTGTGTTGTGTGGTAAAGTAACGTGTTATAGCAGAAAGTTTAATACAGCGTATTTCTGGTATATTCATTTTAATGATGTCACCTGATATATAGGATGTGTGTTAAACTTGAATATTCCTAAAATGATGTCCCATTTTAAATAGAAGTAGATTAGCGCAAATGGTCTTTTCTTCCACTTTTGTGTTATACAGTAATCAAAAGGTGTTTTTTTTGGCTATTTGTGAGTAGGTAAGGTACAGAAGAACCTGTGATTTCTGCCTTGCCTACCGGCGTTTTTACGACACGTAAAGCTTCCGACGTTCACCAGAGGGCAGTTTCCTGATGTGTTTTGTATCTTAGAACACAATGTGAGAATTGCTGTAAGCTTATATTAACCACAGACCTTATTTTGGGACTTGAAGCGAATACAAAAAAAACCAGACATTGACTTCAAGACAAGGGAGCATTTAGGACTCATGCTGCACCATTGTTTCACAGGTCAGTTGGGGAATACTATGCACCAGGCCCACAAATTGGGAATGTGAACCCTGACCCCAAAAGCCTCTAATCAGTTGAAATTCCACAAAGGACCCTTATTTGCTGGCCTATCCAGAATTCCAGATGAGGCTCATTGTCTAACATTTTTAGCTGCTTCTTCACCATGCTGATTGCAATCGCTCACCTTTTTCCCCGTACTCCACTTCAGCATGAGGTCTACGGCATAGATGGCCCGGGATGGCGGGTACGAACAAATACCGTACGGAGGCGGTCGAGACGAGGCTGCCTCAAAGAACTCCCTGAATGCTTTAAACACCTCAGCCTGGGAGCGGTGGGAAAAGAAAGAAAGGGAAGTTTTATTGTGTTAAAATGTAAGAGGTTACATACATATAATCAAATATTGTTAGAGTGATTGTTGTGTACGTTTCCAGTGTGAGTTGTAATGGAAATTTGTATCATTCACCATGTGTTCTTCTTCTTAAGTTTTTTCTGACACAATGTTTGACAGGAAGCAGTAAACATGTCTTAACTTACATGAGACGTAAATTATGTTAAGAGTTATTTGTTATTGTAAGGTTGGTGGTCTTCTTCTTTTAAGGAATTTTTTTTGTATGATGTGATTGATGGTGTGATATGAATGATAAGTGCGACACGTCGGCGCCTGCACTCACAGTGTCGTGTACGCAATGCTATGAGTTACTTTGCTCCGGTTACTTATGTTGCCGCAGATATTTAAAGGGTACCTATCATGCAAAATGCACTTTTGTGCAAATTGTGATGGAAACTTCTGTGCAGCAATGCAGAGCCAAGGCTCAGGAAAGGATGGAAGCTGGAGCGGCTTTAGTCAAACACTGATATTTATTGAGAGTAGAATACGGCCGGAGAGATCACAAAGTATATCACACTTTCATGTGAGCCACCAAGCAACACTCTGAAGACATAAAGTAGAAACATAGATTTATATATCCTTAAAGGAGGGACCTAAAAAGCCCGCCTTTCCTACCTTAATCATTACCAGACATTGGAACAAAGACCCGTTTGTATTACAAACTCACATGTGCCCAAACTTCTCACCCACAGGAAGGCAGAGGACCTCTTGACCTGTGTCCTTCTCACATTACAGGCAGGAGCATATGCGACTTAACGAAAAGCATGTTTGTAATTTAACAGTTTCTCAGAAAAGCTGAGAACCTCAAGACACAAAGAGATCTCCTTAAAATATTCTCTGACACAAATGTGATGTCTTTTATACATAAATATGTGTCCCCGGTGAGTCTGGGAACTCACGCAGCGTCTGAAAATAAAACCCTCTCTTTCCCTCCGTACCCAAATCTTTTAAAAACGGGTGTACAACGAGCGGATACAGATTTGCATCCGAACTGACGTGTCCATCCGAGGTGACGTCGGCGGACCCACAGAAAGTTGCTATCAGAAACAATGCCTGACGTGTTTTGGACGTCTTTGTTTACATTAGCAAGCCTCAATAACACTCATATGGAGCTATTTCAGGGTCATAAGTTTTGATCATTCAAAAAAATACAATTTATGTAAGTTTTTATCCTGAACTTTGAAAAATATAATGATGTATTCAAAATAAAAATAAGTATTTGAAATCATTTTTCAGGTTGAATATTATTTTTGATTCAGTTCAGCAATTTTTTGAATAAAATATTTATTTTCAGATTTCAGATTTATACATATTTTTTTATATTTGAATCCTTCAAATCTTGATTTTTCAGGTTTCACATTGCTTTTCACCCTCAGATCGTTTTTCACTTTCAGATCTTTTTTTTTCGCTTTCAGATCTTTTTTTTTCGCTTTCAGATCTTTTTTTTTCGCTTTCAAACTTTTGGCCCTGATGTTGCTTGGGGGGTGGGGCTTACCAAAGAGTAGTTTGGCATCCTGAGTGGCAGGCCTCCCTCTGTCATGTTGCCTTCATGGATGTTAGGTAGCGCGAGAAATATAACTCAATACTTTCTCAGATACCGCTCTCCGTTCAGGATAAAAACTTGTACTTTCAAATAAATCGTATTTTTTTTAATGATCAAAACTTATGACGCTGAAATAGCTCCATACACTCAGAGCTAACCTGTACTGAGGAGCACATGTGTTTAAAAAGCAGGAAATAAAAAAGAACTCCCCTTGTGATAAACCTGCAAGAGAAAAAGCATTTGAGCTCCATACTATTTCAGAAATAATCCTTGACGTGGTTTAAACAGGATGGCGTTTTATCACAACCGAATTTAACTTTATCTCCGTTAGAATTCTGATCAGGCATTAGCTCCGCCTCCTCTTATTAATTTTTTTCAAGCTAAGGACCGAAAATCTGCGTTTCTCTAACAGGGCTTCAAAAGAGGGGTTTGAGTAGTATGAGACATGGCTACTGTTATATCAATCTTGGACCTAGTCATAGTAACTAGGTATGTTATTAAGTTAGTTTCCATAGAATCGTCTCTTTGCTAATTATTACGTTAAGTGAGCTGACGCCAAGCTCAGAGGAAATGCAAAGAGGCTACATTTAGATATAATACAGTTAAGTGTTAGTTAATGAAAGAAATGTATGTGCATTCATGTGCAGATGTATATATAGTTTGTTAATTGGATAATTCATTTCCTGCAAGACTCCTAAAGAAGTCATGAGATGATGACCTTTCGACATCTGGAACATGTCCAAGTTTAGGAGAACTGACAATGTGTGTGCGTTAAACATGATTAGGGAACATGTTCGTGTGTCATTTAGAAACGTATATCTGCCCTGTATTTCTTGTATTCATGGGAGCATTGCTGTATGATTGCTAGAGAGCAGGTAATGTTTCCCCATTGTTGTTTGGTGGTGCGCAACTAAATAATAATGATTAATCTCAACTATTTCTGTGTTTGTGTTTTATTGATTCCTCTCTGTTTCATTCTTTCCTGTTGTGTTATGCTGGATCGCCACAACAGCTACAATGGGTGATCTGTTTGGTATTTTGAAAAACTTCACAGACATGTTTTATATAGGTATGGCCCTACAATATATTTTTCAAATATAGCATGATAGATCCACTTTAAGTAAGCTCGCTTGCTGCAAATGTAATAATAGTCAAATTGCTCTGAAGATGGGCAGTGATAGGTGATAGGCAGATTCCTTATACAGCGTATTTCTCGCTTATTTATTAAGGTAACACAGGTCAGAGAGGCCCCATTGTCTCTTTGCTAATTATCAGCAGATGTAACCACGCTAAGTAAATTACCAAGGTCAGCGGAAGACCAAAGAGATTTTTATTAGATTATAATAGAGAGAAAACATTGAGGTTCGTGTGTTAGTTCATGTAAGGAAAATTGTGTGATAATTCATATCCTGTGTAATGTCTTTATTAGGATCCCCATTAGCACTAGCATGAGCATTGGCAATTCTTCCTGGGGTCCACACACACTCAAAACCTATATAAACATACATACAACAACATTAAAATAAAACAAAACAGCTCATAATTTCATGCAATTTACAGTGAAATGAAGTGAAAACTAAAATGGTCATCCAATTATCGCCATCCTAAGGCCAAACAAAAGTAAATACAAATAAGTGTACATAATAATATATGCATACATAGCCACAGGCACAGTTCAAATTTACTTTGTAATACTTAAATATTTTTTTAGCAACCTTTTGAAATGGACTTGAGAATTTTCCTGAATGATGTGAACCGGAAAAGAGTTCCAGCTGACCATGGCTCTGTACATGACTGTTTTCTGTCCCATATTTGATTTAGATTTGGGTAATACAAACCTTCCTTCTATTGTATGTCGTGTTTGATAGTTATGTTGTGCATATTGCGCTATAAACCTTTATGATAATATATCTGGTGAGTGAGTCACTGTAATATTTCTGACAAAATTTAATAAAATATAAGTTGACCTCTGTCTGACAGTTAACCATTTCAGTGTATCCAGCATTTCAGTGACTCTGGTTCGGTAGGAGCACTGCAGTGCACATCGTGCTGCCTTATTTTGTGCTACTTGTAGTTTGTTTAAATCTTTTTCAGCAGCACTAGACCATATAACCAAACAATAATCAAGCTGCGACAGAACCAAAGCATCCAAAACTTGTCTAATGACATCCATAGGCAAATATTTTACAAGTGACACACCCCTTCCCATTTTACATACAACACTATCAATTTGTTTAGACCAAGATAATTTATGATCCAGGGTTATACCTAGCAATTTTGTCTCCTTGACCTGTTCAATTTCAATATGGTTTAAATGTAGTTGCAATTTTGGTTCACCTTTTAACTGATGATTTGATCCTATTAATAACAATTTTGTTTTTCCCGCATTAAGTACCAACTTATTATTTATGACCCACTCTGATATCAGTAGTAGATCTTTATTCATAACATTTGTCAACTCTCTTGTAGTTGATGCTGCATAATATATTGTTGAGTCATCTGCATACATTACAATTTTAGCTTTTTCTAACACTAATGGTAGGTCATTTGTAAAAATAGAAAATAAAAGTGGTCCCAAACAACTACACTGAGGTACTCCACAAGTGACTGTTTTCATCTTTGAGAGACTTCCATTAAAAAAAACAGTTTGACTTCGATTTGTCGGGTAACTTTCTAACCACCTCAGCGTTTCAAAATTAAAACCATATTGTTCCAGCTTGTGTAACAACAAAGAATGATCAATGACATCAAAAGCAGAACTAAAATCGAGTAGTACTGCACCCACTAACTTCCTATTATCTAGTTCGCCCTTCCAGTCATCTGTCATTTGTGTTAAAGCGGTGCATGTGGAATGGCCAGGTCTGTAAGCATGTTGATACAAAGTATTAAGTTTGTTACCTTCAAAGTATTTTTGTATTTGATTAAAAAATATTCTCTCCATTATCTTGGCTAATGCTGGTAATAAACGTATTGGACGGCTATTTGTACCAGAAAATGGTTCAGTTGGATTCAGTGGAATAATTTTTGCTATTTTCCATGCCTGTGGGCAAATACATTTATCAATACTCAAATTTATAATATGACAGATAGGCTCTGCAACAAAATTAGCAACATATCTAAGAAATGTACCAACTAAATTATCCACTCCTGGTGGTTTATCATTACATTTACCTAGTAGACATTCAACATCTTTAATTGTCACTTTTTCTATTTTAAATGTACACTTCTTATTTTTCATAATTAAATCCTTTATTAGAAATGTGGAGTTACTATTTATAGTTTGATTCATATTTCTCCTCAAATGTTTTACTTTATCAAGAAAATAATCATTCAGATGATTAGCAATTTGTACTGGTTTTGTCAAAAATGTCCCATCCACCTCAAGATATGT